ATGTGTATGTACACATTTATACATATATATGAATACACAAATATGTACCTAAATATACTATCAGCAGACCTTGCTTCTAATGTATATTGAATCCTTAAGATATCTTTCTGAAGTGGCTTTGTGTAATTTTGATGATCTTGTTTAATAAGGCATTTAAAAATGAAACAACAAATCTGAATAAAATATCCATTCTTTAAAGTCTAAGTCAAAGGCTATACACATGGAAGGCTGAAAAATAACCAGCTTTTAAATTCTGTCCTTTCAACAATACAACTGCACTTTCAAATACGCTTTGTTGTTTTCTTTTAATTCACTAAAATTAATCTTATAGATGTAGATGCCAGATTTGCATTAATTAAAACTCTACTGTAGAAGCCAGGCTTAATTGCAATCAAATTTGCTTAATTATGCATGGCGAGAGATTCCCAAACGAGAAAGGTTTTAGTAAGGATTTTGGTTTTTTGCATTGATAAAATAAATTGAAATTGTCATTTTTTGTGTTTTATGTAACACTTGTAAATAATTTGTGGAGCACCTTAAGTCTTCTATGTAAAGCAATGTTATTGCTTAAGTAATTATAACAATCTGCATTTTTCATTGTTAATTGTGGGTGTCAGACTCATTAATTTTAATTTACAGACTGTAATGAAATTAAGAAAATTTTATGCTGATCTGCTGAAACTTGTCTTACAGGAAGTTGTTTAATACAACTAAAGTTTGAAAAAGTCAAGACTCATTTTTGTAATTTGTATTTCAACCAATATAATCATTCCCCAACAGTTTTTCAGTAAAATCTGGCTTCAATATAAAAGCAGATCAATTGTATTAACAATTTTGGTTTTTAAAAATCACTTGATATTTCAAGTACAGGAATCATTCAAGTTCTATTTAAATTTACCTTAGAACTACACCTCTGGTTAAAGAAAATCTGCAAACATTAGAGTATAGTTTCAATTCTATCTCCTTTGTTTTCTATGGAGAATTATATTGGGGGGGGGGAGACAGACATAACCTAAATTCGCTTTAATCATCCTTAGATCAAAGGATTATCAGTGCACTATTTAACTTACATCTCAATGTGGATCACCCTAATTATTTTATCTCAGATATCTGTCATATATTCATTGCTTTAAAAACTACATCTGTAATCTAACTTGATTTTTAAATGTGAATTTAAAACAAAGTAATTCATTTGGAGATTAGTAAGGCATACATTTTAAATAAAGAAAGTTAATGACAAGGAAAAATGCTAAATCTTTTTGATTTCGTGTTAAGATGTTACATTCTGCTCTTAAAGCCTGTTTAAAACTTTAAGTGGTATAATTATTAATATAAAAACTATAATGGAAACAGAAAGTATCTTTCATGCTTATTTAGTAGCAAGTCAACTCTTAGGGAAATTAGCTAAAGAGCCTTCACCTCAATTATTATTCATCCAATTAAAAATTCCAAAACAATTACTATAATTCTGCTTAAAGCCAAGCATGAAAGTTTCGTAGTCAAACACACTTAGAATTGTTGAATGTCTCAAGAAGAAAATGACAAAGCAAAGATTATTTCATAATTAAGGCTAACCTTTAATTATAGGTCCTTTTAAATCAAGTTATTCTGAAGGGGTGAAATAAATCATCAAAAGGGCCTTGGCAGTGCATCACTGCATGTACTACTCTACAACAAGGTATTGGTGGTGGGTCAGACTTTTTCCCTTTATTAACTTAATGGGAGACATATTAGTGATAGGGAATGCCTAGGCAAGATCCAAAATACACAAATAGGTAAAGAATACCTAAAAGAGTTTTCCCATGACTTATAAACAATGAGAAAATTGTGAGACAGTGAGAACTTGGAAGGGCACTTTCTCATCCAAGACTTTAGCTTGAGGACTCCTTTTGTATTTTGTTCACCCCAATAAAAGCTTCAAAATATGTTCATTTTCTACTTCTTCACAAGAACAGTTGCTCACTATTCCATTTTTTCCATTCTTAATTCCAACCCATTTTTACCAGCCCCTGGGGAACCAAGAAACTCTATTATCCCCCAAATAATTTTTTCCATGATTTCCTGTACATGTTTTTAGGGTATCACAAGGGACTTCTATATTGAGATTCATTCTCATAAAAAAATAAAATAAAATAAGGAAGATTTAATATTCTATCCCTTTTTCAAAGCACTGGTACAAGTAGGTACCAATGCACTAACTGAATTTGTTTTCTGATGCTCCCTATTCTTCAGAATAATTTTTGTCTCCTAATTATGCTTTTGTCTCTATTCATGCTTAAATCTTCATTTTTAATTTGCTCTCTCATTAGGAAGTCATTTCTTTACTCTCTTGTCTCCCCTATTATTCCTTATTAATTCCCCTATTAATTCCTATGCACTTTTCCCAGCCATATTGTCACCCTTCTGTCACTCTTTGTTGCCCATATCCTGTATTCCATTCTCTGTCCCATTTCATCCTGTCCTCTCTGCCCCTGGTTTCACCCAGAGATGCTATTATGGTGATTGATTTACACAGTGCAGAACATTCCATAGGTATCATATTGCTATACAACATACACATCCCATACAACGATAAATCTAAAAATAACTAGCAAAAGGAGACGTTTAAGTTTAGAGTTAAAAGTGCTAACAGGGTCAACGGGTACAGTCATTGTGTGGATGGTGGTTTCACTACCTTGGAGACAAATGGGCAAGAGCCAATAGAGCTGGGCACTCATGATGAAATCAGTAATAAATCAGATACAGAGTATAAGCATGAATCAAATTACTGTACTCAAATAAGAGCTAGGCACCGACTTGAAAGGAAAATATGTCATTTCCTTCCCTTTCCCACCATCTCACTTCCATCCATCTTTTGTCTCCTTTGCTTGATGTCTGTCTTTCTCATTCCCACCCTTATTTTTAAGTTTCCCTTGTTTTATGATTTTTGAAAGCGGCAAAATCCATACTCGCATCCTGAAACTGCTTATGCTTCTTATTAAATGTAATTTGATGTGTTAAGACCAGATTTCAGTCCTCTCGAGAGTCAGATGTGTCATGATGAATAACATCTGTATATCTTAAGAAGTGAAAGCCTGTTCACAGCTCAGGATTGAACAGACATAACATCCAAAGATAATTTGTAATCTTCATATAGACCCTAATAAGAGCACTCTATCACTTGCAGGGAGATGTCGCTTTTTTGTTTTTTTCTCTTCTCTTCCTGGACTCACCCTATTTCAATTGTTCTTTCAATCACTCAGTAACCACCCTCCGCTCGGGTGTAGCCACAAGTACCTCTGTGTTAAACCACTTGTGAGACGTATTAAGCACCACCTCAAACAATGCAGTAGAACTATTGATTCGTGGGAAGCAACAGCACCAGACGGAAAGAACGAGCTCTTTTCTCAAATGGGCCACTCATTTAAGGCCAAAACGCAGATTGGTTTCAGAGGAGAAGCAGCAAAATAATAAATAGTCTTTGCCTACTTCTTAGCTTTTCCTGAAGTGCTTATTAGTTTTTCTTTTAATTATGGAAAAATTCAAATATGAATAAATAAAGAGAAGGGTAAAACGAAGCTGTGTACCTATCACATGAGTTTCCAATTGTTTCCTCTCTCCCAATCTCTTCTGCTATTATATATTTTATGTGTGTGTGTGTGTGTGTGTGTGTGTATCACAGACATACTGTATAATCCATAAACCCCAATGCACTTTGAATAAATATTATTAAAATTATTATTATTTCTTTGGTTTAAAAAAGAGCCGTTTATCTTTAAAAAATCAGTTAAAACTTACTACAGTGGTGTGTCATTTCAACTGATAAAAAATATTTGTCCGTGTCTACTGTGAACAAAAACTAACTTACTCCATGGGGATCTAGAGAGTTTAACTGCTCCTTAGAGACTTTAAACCCACACTCTTTTCAGTGCTCCCCACCTTTGAAAGTATCTGGTGCCTCTCATTTTGAGTCCATTCGGCACTCTCGAGGGGAAATTAATTTGCATTTATTGGTTTTCTCTGGTATAAAAGCACAGTTATTGTTTATCTAGAACTCTCATCTTCAAAATTTAGTTGGTATCACTTCTACTGTTTTATCACTTTTATTTTCTTTGTTCTTATGGAATTATACTTTTATTCCTTTATTTTCATTTTAGTTAATTTCAGGAATAAATAGGTATAAGCCAACCTTGTATGCCCCCACACAAATGCGTAAGCCGTTTTTACTTGGCCTTTGATACTTAAGGTGATGGCACATTCCACATGACAATGGTGGGACTCTCACAAAATCCTCCTCCAGAAAGAGAAGAGGTCAGAAAAATTATATCAGAGAACAGGCAGAAGGAACACATTGCTTATGCCTCTGTTTCCTATTCTATATCTGCTTTCTTTCTTTGTATTCACAAAGCCCTATTCCCAGAACTCTCTTTACATTTTGATTAATAATATATTTGCAATTGGCAGAGAGGCAGAGAAGAATTATAGATATTACATGTGCCCTATGCAGTTTCTTCCTTTTCTGGGAAAATACCACCTACAAAACATACTGTCCTTTTACACTATTTATAATGAACTTTTTTTTAACAACATCTGTCTTGTGAACATGTAAAGTAGGAATTGTGTGTAGATGACATGAAACCGTCAGCTGCGGAACACTGGGGACAAAAACAGGTTGACAGAGTAAGCGGAGAGTGACCTATGATGACATCCAAAGCAGTTGGGACCACTGAGTGAGCCACAGAAATGAACTCTTCTGTTTTGATCTAGTTGTGATTTGATTGATTTGTTTACATGCCATAGAAAACAACCCTGAGTAACCTAAGATTTCCAAAGAGGGGAATTGAAAAACATTGAGTGGCTCCCAGAAAGAAGGTGAGACTGGAGAACTGGGCTTGGAAGCCGGGTGGGAGCAGGGGTTCCCCTGGGAGTCTGGATGCAGGTCTGCTTATCTATTCTGGCTGATGTCATGGGAACAACGGAACTCCAGCTATGTCTCCTTGCCCTCATCACTCGGTGCAAGATTCCCAATCCCTAACAGTCCTCCTGGCTACCTCCTTGTCAGGTGTCTGTCCTTGCCTGTATCAGCCTGAGGAGGAGAAGTATTTGGTAAGAAAGACTTCCAGGGAGCCCCTTCCCCCAACACTGCTTGCTTGCCCTGTGGTAGGACATGGTACCCTGGTTCAGATGCCACCTAGAAACCACACTAGGCAACAGGGTCATTGCCAAAAGGAAACCCGAGTACTACACATCAGGGAGCAGGGCTAGTAGGAAAGCAAAATGCCAAATGATTACTCTGCCCCACTATCTTCTCTTTCTATATAAATCTATTAGTAGATTCCAAGGATGAGTAAACAGCAGATTTTATGAATAAAATAAACAATCAATTGGATTATTATCTCTGTTTTTTAAAGCCTATTCTGCCTTTTAATGCCTAATGACATTCTTAATATTTTGCTAAAATCTTACCGTCTTGTTCTCCCCAAGATTGAAACCTCCCCTGTGTAGCCCTTCTCCACTCTACCTGATCCCCTTCTGCACTCCCAGAAGTACCCTGCACCCAAAAAACTTTGCTCATTCTCCTCACTATTGAAAATATGTGCTTGTGAACAAGTGATGCTGTAGAAATAGTCTATAGGACATTATAACCCTCTTCACTGTGTTTCTTTTTTTAGCCAAAAAGTACAATATTCAAAATTTAAAAGAAAAACATCCAAGCTGGGAATATGTCCCCAAACAAGGCGTTTCCAAGTGTGAAGCATGTTGCCTAATAATAATATGTCATATATGTAGATAACCCTCTTACTGGTTGTCAGAACATTATGCATTACATTCATTCATTCTACCAATACTTACTGAGCCCCTATTATGTGCCAGACATCGTCAAAGCCTAAGTATGTCCTGAAGGTAGTGCCACAAGATTTGCTGCAAGATCGAAGGTGGGGTATGAGAAAAAAAGAAGTCAAGCCCCCAAGTCCTTGAAAGGTAGGTAGAGCCAGTGACAGGAGAAAATCAGGAATTGAATCCTGAAAAAGCGAAGTCTGAGAATCTTTTTAGATGTCCAAGGATAAATGGTATAAAGGAAATTGGACTTGAGTGGAGAGATTAGGTTAAAAATACATATATTTGGAAGTTGTCTGCACATTACTGGTATTTGAAGCCATATGCTTAAGGGCATAACAAGGGGAAAATATAGACAGAGGAAAGATGGAGTCCAAAGTCCAACCCCCATGTTATCTCAGGGCTAAGAGACGAGGGCCAGGAGAAAAGAGGAAACCAGGAGCATGTAGAGTCCTGGAAAACAAGTGAAGAAAGGATTTCAAAAAAGAGAAGGGATGGCCTTTGTTAAATGTTGATGTTAGGTCAAGTCTGAGGAGAACTAAAAAACTGACAGTTGAGATTGCACAGCAATGGAGATAAGAGGAGTGTTTGGAGGCAGGAGGAGGGGAAGGGAGGCTCACTGGAGGAGTTTGAAGGAGAAAAACAGAGGAATTGGAAAACAGCAAGTATAACCCCACTTTTAAGGAGTTTCATTAGTAAAAGGTTTCAGAGACATGGGAAGTATCCTGAAAAGAAAGAGCCAAGAGAAGAGGACAACTAACAAAAGGCATTTTAATGTAGGAGAAATGATAGCACTTTTCTCTGCCAAAAGAAGAGGTCCAGGAGAAGAAAAAAGCGTCTGTTATGTAAGAAAGAGGTAGAACTGTTGCATCAAGGATTTGGGTAAACCATTAAGGGGGTGGTGTTTGCAGGAGAACAGAGACTCCATCCACAGTAACAGGAAAGTAAATGGAGCAAATAGACACAGATACACAGGTGGGTATGGTGGTGGGTTTCAGAGAAGTTCTATTTGGGCTGATTCTGTTAACTCAGTGGAATAGGAAGCAGCAGTCACAGTGGGGGTCCTGGGTGGTTTCTCGGAGAGCACTATGTTTAAATGGAGATTATAAGTCTGTTATTACTGTAATGACAGAATCTGGGATATTTGGAAAGAGACTAAGGGAGGGTACAGAGGAAGCACAGGAGGAGAGTCAAAGAACAGAGAGTGAAGCTTTACCTCCTCCTACCAACACTCCTTGCATTTGTCTCCCACCCCCACACACCCCCACACCTCCACCTCCAGAAGGACACTCAATACTAGAGCATCTCTTCACTTTGCAAGGAATTAGCAGTTAGCTAATTCAACCATCGACCTTATTAAGATCCCTTCTCAAGGTATTTAAACTCGTTTCCTCTGCCTAGAACACTATGCTCTTAGATCTTTGCATGGATCTCTCATCATTCGGATTTCACTTCTAATATCTTTTTCTCAGAGACCATCCCAGACCACCTGCTATAGTCCAAATATTCCTGTCCCCTCAAAGCTTGAAACTCATCTGATTATCTCTCTAGGTCTCAGGGCGGGGGGGTTTGTATGTAAAATTAGGAGACAGGAGACTTTGATCTAACTCTAAGTAATCCTTATTCCTATTTTCAAACATTAGGATAGTTTATGATTATATGAATTCAATATATAAATTATTTCAAGCCTTACACCCAGTGTCTTCCTCGTTGCTTTCGTTTGGACACACCCTTCTTGTGACTGAGAGCTGTCATCTGGTTCCCTGTCGTTTCTTAATCCTGGTGCTTGTATCTGTTTCCTGAGGCTTCTGTAACAAACTGCCACCAGCTTGCTTGCTTAAAACAACAGAAACACCCCTGGGGCAAATAATACATTATATGTTAATTAAAAAAAAAAGCCATACACACACACACACACACACACGCGCGCGCGCGCAAATAGAAACTTATTCTCAGAGTTGTACAGGCCAAGTCCTAAATCAGTAGCACCGAGCTGGAATCGAGCCGTCCTCAGGGCTATCTTCTAGAAAGGCTCTAGGGGAGAATCCGCCCCTTGCCTCTTCCATCTTCCAGTGACTCCTGGCAGTCCTTGGCTTGTGGTGGCATATTTCCAATTTCTGCCTCTGTCTTCATATCACTTTCCCCTCTTCTGTTCCAATCTTCCCCTTCCTCCTTCCTATACAGATTCATGTGATTACCTTTAGGGTCCAGCCTGATAATCCAAGATAATCTACACGCCTAAACAGCCTTCACTTAATCACATCTGCAAAGACCCTGTTGTATTATATATTACAAATTTTTCATTTTTGAATCTGGAATCATTTAAATATTTTAACACTTTGATTCAATGGTATGCTGAAGCTGGCTCATATCAGCTCGTGGAGTTGATGGTTAATTTTTCAGGAATTTTGTGAATGGTTGTCCAACACAGCCATCATGAAAAAGTGAAGTACATACGTTCATAATTAGAGGAGTCGTATCTAAAACAATGGTCGTAAATAACCAAAGCTCACTGGGTCGCAGGAATTGTACTAGATTTTACTATTTCATTTCTCTTGAAGTTGTCCATCATGTCTGTATGATGGAAATAGTATATAATGGTATGCTCTGACACATCTCTTTCAAACTCTGCATTTAGTAATTTCATGTTAGTAGCCTGAAATTGCTCATGGTAGGTAGCACAGAAATCAGCACAGTTAACAAATTGGGGCTTTTTAAAAAAACTGTGACGTACTCTTAAAATCACTATAGAAGCTACATAATCTTTAAGTCGAAAACCAAGAAAAGCTTAAGGAATTGTTTTCAGGGAAAAATATCCTTTTAGGTTTCAGGAGAGACTTTCTATGTCTTCGGTAAAGATGTTGTGAAATAGCCATTTTTTCCTTAAAAACTTTATGGGAGCACTCTGCTAGAAGGGCTAAGCAAAGTGAATTAGATGTAAGTCTGTTAGAACTAATTCACTGCTCAAGAAAAGAGATCAGCAGAAAGTAGAGGGAGATAACATTTAGTAAGCTAATAAGATGATTGAGTTTTCTGACAGGGTTAATTCATTTGTAATAATGAAGAGGATCTGGACCTACTGGAGGAGAAACAAGCTTTTACTATATAGAAAAGTGTTTACATTACATAAATCTATTGCTGCAATTTCAATCTTTCTTTGAAAAAAACTAAAGCTTTCATAGGCTAATCATCTTCCTTATCTTCTTATTCTGCCTAATTAGTAATTATAAATTGCCTATTTTAAAACAGGATCTAGGACACAATGAGAACTTTTAAAAAGTTAAATCAAGCTGGGCTAAGTGCCCAGAAAAAATAAAAATTTAGTTTAACACTCCTGGGATTTCTATGTATGTCCGTGTGTCTATGATTGGGTTTATTAGACAGCACTAATTGAAAATAAAAGATAAAATACCTGGAAATTAAACCTCAAATAATGTTAGTAAGTGATAAGAAAGCATTTTTTTAATCAGAATTCAATGGACAGAAAAATGGTCTATCAACTAACTTCATTCAAGTTTTCCTTGAAAGAAATTTAAGGTGTTCAACTTGCCTACCGGTTGAAAGTTAATACCTAGAGACAGAAACTTCACTCCCTAAATCCAGTACTAAGAAACACGCTTATTAATGGAGTCAGGGCTAGAAAAAGTTGTAAGGGAGAGAAAATAGGAGTTAAATCACGAAAGTAAAAAGCCAAAGCAAAACTTCTAGCAAATGGAGCAGAAAGAGAAAAAGAGAATGGGGAACATGCAGGATTTAGAATTTGTTTTGAGGAATATTCCTCAGATGAGCATCACAGCAGGGTGTCTCCCTGTCCTTTGAGTAATTTGACTAGCCACAATCCTCAGCTGTTTAAGTGGATAATCTTCTTAAAGACTGGCTTTGCTTTTCCAGAGTGCCCAGCAGAGTGCTCTGTGGTCAGTGACACCCGATAATTTATCAGCTAATTACTTAGTATTTGTTCCGAAAATGTCAGAGGCTCTGCTGGATCAAACCCAAAGGGCTAAACTAGTGAGAATTCAGACCCTAGAATTATCCATGACCCCCAAAGTCTATCTGTATTAGACACTTTCCAAGAGAAATTCTACTCAAAAGAGAATCAGCTGGAAGGGAAGAAACCCCTCACGTTGGCCAGAGATAAAAAGAGTTACACATGTACATGAGAACTACGGCGTGTAGTACGTTAGTTAGAATATTGTTTGCTTTTGTTTTTAATGCTATCTTGACCTAGTTTTGATGCCCCAGCTGGCGGCTGGTCAATTTCTCTTCCTGAGGTGCTGATTAAAACCACAGCCCACCCACTCCCAGCATGGGACTCCTACCCTCCAGCACCACTATTCACCTAGCCAGGTACCAAACAGGGAGAGATCCCAGGCTCTGGAGCCTATGAAATTACTCCAATTAGCCAATACACAAGGAACCCCCAACCTAGATAACTCTACCCCACTTGCCACACGTAAGCTGCCCTCAAAACAGTTGTCGCATTACAATAGAAAAGCATTAAGATAAAGGAAGTAACACTATCAATGACAATAACTACAGTAGATATATTTTTAATCAATATTTTTTCAAAACTATGTGTTTTTATCCATATATGTATCGATCTATCTATATGTAAATAAATTAAACCTCAACAATGAAAGTAATGAAGAAATAGCTCAGGGAGTTACATCCCTGGACATCACCTCGGAGAGCTGTTCTTCCATCCTAGCCACCAGCCAGAAGAGAGCAGCTCCAGAAGGAAGAGCTGATAAATTGTAAAAAGGACAAGGCTTTTGTAAAATTGCCCAGCGCTCTTGTCATGGTTGTGACTTCTGCATCCCATCTTTAATCTCTCAAAGCTCATCTTAATCTTCTAAGATTTTGAAGGCCAAAGAAGCATTTTGATCTATTCTAGGAGCTAGAGGTAGGTAACTATTAGCAATGGGGAAGTAACCCCATATATATATATATATATATATAGAGAGATATATATATATATATATATATATATATATATATATATATATATCTCCCTTAATTTCCCTGATTCTTAGTTCTCATCTGTAAAACCTGAATAATGGTCTCTAGGTCATTAGATTAATAGAGCTGACAAATGTATAGTAGTATATCTGGTTCTTGAAACAATAACCTTTAGCCCATGGTAGCTATGTCAAAATTAAAATTCTGCTACTAAATATCACTTAATCCTTCCAGTCAGCTTTCATACCCACTCTTCCATTTTAGGCTTCTGGCTCTTACCCTACCAAATCCTTTTCACTTCATCAAGCAGTAACTAATCCACTCCAGTGTCTCTTTTCTTCCAATTACTCTGTGTATCTCTTCCTGGTGTGTTGTTAAGGAAATACTGATTTCTACTGCTTCAAGGTCAGACTCCACTTCCTCACTTCCAAGCTTCCAGTTTCCTAGTTTCTTTCACCATCGATTTCCACAGCTATACATCTGGCCAGCTGATCCCAGTCCCTGAAACATGATTCTACTAAAGGGAAAAATTGAGCTGCTGCCCTATAGTGCCTTGCATGGGCCATTCTTAGTCTCACTACTATGCTTTTTCCTGTTCTGTAACATCTTCCTGGAAGGTTCTTGAAAGAAATCTTACTCAATTTCCTAGGCCAGTTCAATTATATGTTTTCCATACATTTCTTCTGTCCCTTCAAGATTATCTCTACTTGTCTTTACTTACCCCTGCCTTCTTTGCACTTGTGTTATGTTTTGTTAAGACCCATATGATCTGGAAATGTATTTTACATCCCCAAGAAAATTATAAACATGATGAAGCAAAAAATGATACCATTCACACACACACACACACACACACACACACACACACACACAAAATGATACCATTCACTCTCTTGGTGGCTTAGTGCTTGGCACTAAAACTGTTCATTAAAAATTTGATTGTCTGAAAATAACATGCCTAAAATGAAAACTGGCATTTATGGAAAATTTGCTTTGTGTCCAGCACATGCCTTTTATATGTAATCATCATTGCCTGAAAGACCTATTTTGATGGTTATAAATTACTGCCCTTTACAGATGAAGAATCTATGGCTGTGCAACATTAAGTCATGTGCCCAGAGCTGTAGCATCACTGAGCTCAGCAACTGCCATTTACTTAGACTCTGCCTTTCTCTCTTGAATCTTCCTCCAAGTATACAGCAGTGGACCAGACATATTGGTCTTTCTCTTCTCCTTGGATGAGTCCAAGTTCACTCCCATCTCAGAATTCTTTCACTCTTGTTCCTTCTTGAAAAGGTCTTCCTCTGTATCTTCACATCATAGTCTCACTCTCATGACTGAATCTTCAATGCAATGTTAATCTCTTCAGATTTCCAAACCACCTGAGCCACAGTGGTTCCCAATTACTTCCCACCATATCATACTATGTAATCTTCTTCATAACACTAATGAAGGTCCCAAATTATCTTTTTTTTTTTTTTTTGAAAGGGAGAGAGTGAGAAAGAGAGAGAGCATGAGCAGCAGGCAGGGGTGGGGGTAGGGAGGCAGAGAGAGAGAGACTTTCAAGAAGACTCCACACTTAGTGCAGAAGAACCCCATGTGGGCCTCAATCTCAGGATCCTGAGATCATGACTGGAGCCAAAATCAAGAGTTGGACGCTTAACTGACTGAGCCACCCAAATGACCCTGCTATTATGTATTAGTTATAAACAAAACAATATCCCCGTCATTATAGAATTCTGTATATTTCACTTAGACTGCCCAGGCAAAGGCTTGCTCTCTGTCTTTAAGACGTGCTTCCTGAAAATACAAACCTAGGTCATGGAAATAGTTAATATCTTCCATTTTTAACTTAAAAAATCTATTATAAACTTTTTTTGTTCTATTTGCCTTTTAATAATATTTTCCTCTTTGCATGCAAAATAACGAAATTCTTTAAATTATAGAAATTATCATGAACCATATAAAATGTTGTCTTTGCAGACAGAAAGTGGTATAAAATTGCGATTTCATGCAGTTCCATCAGACGGACTAGCTCTAGAGATCTGTAATCTCTAGACCCCATCTGCAGTTTCCTAGACCCCAGATTGCTGTCCTCTGAGTTATCAGACTTGGGAGAAAAATTACCCTCTATGAAGTTGCTTTCTACACCACTCAAAATAAAAGTCATGTGCTAAAGAGAGTTCTGGTTTACCTTTGCTACATTTTATGGAACTATATGTTGTGAAATAGTTAAACATTAGCTTGATTGTGTAGATAAAAAAGGGAAAACACTTTGAAATAGGCATGGTTAATGGCTCCTTTTTAAAAGCAAAATCTAACTATAGGCACATACTCACTGAGACACAGTGCATCCATCAACCTTAGAAAAAGGTTTCTGGTCTGAGTATTGACATGCCAGATAGCGGCAGAGCTCACGATAATGGAGCAGCTTTATTCCTAGAGTGATGTTTTTAACTAGGACTTCATCGATGTGCGAGGTTTCCTGAGAGAAAATAACAGATCAAAAATGGTTGATTTCTCAGGTTTCCAGGAGATTTTTTTTCCTTGACAAATTATGCAGAATTTTCCTATAGGTCACTAGATTTCATTAACTCTACCTTCAGACAATTCTAAATTATTTGTGCAGATTATCCAATTTGTGGATTATTTGTAGCATTCATTTTAATTTTGACTTGTCTATACCTAACAACTGACCCAGTTCTGAATCAACCCCTTTCCCTGGACATCTACCAACATGAACTCAGGAAATAACAGCTTAAGTAAATCCAAATTAAGAAGGCAAATATTTCTAATTTAATGTTGTACAATATGACCCACTCTAAAATAAAATATTTTGAAATTTTGTATTATATTGGGTCATTTGTGATTCTATATTCTTTCACTCGGGTGTGATTTACCATATTTATTTTGAATGTTTTGACTCAAGATTCCAAATGTTTATCACCTTCAAAGAATTACATGTGCAGTTGAGATACACTTAGAAGAAGTATCACAGGATAAGTTTAATACTGTATGATTTAGATTATAATCATGGTTTACTGAGATAGAACGGTAAACTTCTCTAGCCACCAATTTTATACAGATCAGAACTAAAGTCTTAATAAAAGCACCAGAACATGAATGATATTGCTAAGAACTACACTGAAGAAGTAAAACAAGAACTAAAGAAATAAAAAAGAAACCTAACACTGATTAAAGCGCAGCTCATTGAAGTTCATTGATTAAACCACAGTTCATAACAAATGAGAAAGGTTCTTTTCAATTCATAGAATACTTTCAAATTTAGGTGCTCCTGGAGGTTGTTCTCAATCTAGGATTTTATGTATTTGAATTTTAAAAGCCTGATATTGTCAGGTTTTTCTCGCTCAGCCAGAAGTTTCTATGAATATCTCCCCAAGGAAGATTCTTTATAGGTTGAATGTTTTGAAAGCCCCCTCAGAAACAGGACCTGGTACCTGAGACAGAGAAACACATGTGGAACTTCTTGCAGGAAACAAGAAGGGAAAGGTATTTTTAATAGAACTTGATGTTTCATGGCAGAAGGGTAGTGGCAAAACTAAAAAGACCTGGAGGAAATACACAAGCTTTGTGGAGCTGTGTGCTAAATTATACATCGTTACGAGCTGAATTAGGCCCCTATGGCCCAATTCATGTTGAACTCCTAAACTCCAGTACAGAAGAATCTGCTCTTACTTGGAGGTAGTTTATTCAAAGGACAAATCAAGCTAAAATGAGGTCATTAGGGTAGGCCCTCATCTAATATTACTGGCATCCTTATATAAGTGCAGGGGAGTCATTTCTGGGGAATGTAAAGAGCTTCTGAATTCTGCATATTAACGAGCATGTAATAAAGAGAATACAAGTTGACAGCAGACACTTGAGGTATTCTACTTTCTCTTTGCTTCATACCGTACCATGAAGAGAAGTACATCATGGGAAGCAAAATATATAGCTTCCCTCTAACCTCCCTCTTCTTCCTTTTCACGCCTTCATTTCCCTTTCTAAGTTTCTCTACTTCTGTAGCACCCTGTAGTAGAATGATTCTGAACCATAAAATTAGGTGAGTATGTAAATGCCAGTTCTGCCACCTGTAAGTTACTTAAATTCTCTGAGCCACAGTTTCATGATGTAAACCAGTATAAAACTTGCTTTAAAAGTCTCCGTCATTAGGGGTGCCTGGTGGCTCAGTTGGTATAGTGTGCAACTTTTGATCTTGGGGTTGTGTGTTCGAGCCTCACATTGGGGGCAGAGATTACTTGAAAATAAAATATTAAAAAAAAGTTTTATATATAAAAAAGTCTCCATCAATAAATAAGAGGAATAGAAAATAGAATAAATGACACTACAAGGAAGCAACCAGCCAAATGGAAATTGTGGGATACTCCACAAGCTAAATGGCCAGGTTTCCTTTACAAATAAATGGCATAAAAAAGGACAAAGTGACATTTAAAGATTAAAAAGAGAGAGAGACACATCAACCAGATGATGTGTGTGCAACTTATGTTTGGATTCTGATTTAAACAAACCAACAATAAAAAGTTTTGTTTGTTTTGGTGAATTGAGGAAATTTGAATACAAATGGGTATTAGGTAATGTTAGCAACTAATTATTTGGGGCTTTGGGCATGTAATTGCTATGGTCTGAATGTGTTTTCAGAAAAATCATACATTGAAATCCTAATGCCCAAAGCAATGATATTGAAAAGTGGAGCCTTTGGGAGGTGACTAGATTATAAGGTTGGAGTCCCCATGAATGAGATCAGTGCTTTTATAAAAGAGACTTGAGAGAAACCACTCACTCTCCTTCCATCATATGAGGATACAAGAAGTTCATGAAAATAAGAATCAGTCTTCTAAAGAATTCTGAGGGGGGGAAATTTTTAAAATACTTGGAAGTCAATTCCAGTGATAATCGTTCCTATAAAAACATGGATGTGGCTACCAAAATACCAGAGGAAAATTCAAAATCTTAAGTTTCAATTATTTCAATTATTAAATTAAATTTCAATTATTAAATTAAAAATACTGAAAACAAATGAACTATGCAATAAAATCAGGAAACAAGGAAACAAAAACAAAAGAAGCAAAAGAAAAGACATGAGATTTCATAAGAATAAAAACATAAAATGCACTAATTGGAACAGAAAAATAACAATGTTTTAAGTAAAACCAAGACTTGATTCTCTGAAAATAGGAATTAATTAGACAAAACTCTAGTAAGACTAAAAAGATAACATATGTAAAACATTAAGCACAACATTGGAGTTATTATCATTTACACAAATATTTTTAAGATTTTAAGCAAAAACTTTATACAACTTTTTGCTAAGTTAATGAAATTTGTGAAAGTAGTTGACCAAATCTGGCTCAAAATGTTATCAGATCCACGGAATGTGAGAAATTAGAATAGTTATCAAAGAATCACCCCTCAAAATAGTATGGGGCTTTTGTCTTTCCAAAAGATAAGCTCTATTTATTATCTGTTCCGTGGACAAATCATTCTTGCCTGTCTTTAAAATGATACTTTTTTTTTAAAGATTTTATTTATTTATTTGACAGACAGAGATCACAAGTAAGCAGAGAAGCAGGCAGAGAGAGATGGGGAACAGGCTCCCTGCCCAGCAGAGAGCCTGATGCAGGGCTCCATCCCAGGACCCTAGGATCATGACCTGAGCTGAAGACAGAGGTTTTAACCCACTGAGCCACCCAGGCGCCCCCAAAAACATACAAAAACATACTTTAAAAACATACAAAAGCAAAGAAAATATCACAATCCATTTTTCAATGGATTACCCAATGAAAGAAGTATCAGGGAAATAAAATAGTAGAACAAACTATTTTAGTAATACGATTATAAAGTACCCTTTAAGAAAAATTAACAAATAGAATCCAGCAAAGTTTTAAAAGTTTAACACCCTGTGACCAAGTAAAGATCATCTCCAGAATGCAAAGATGGCTTCATCTTAGGAAGTCTAGCAATAGAATTCATCAAATTAATATGCCTGTGGATAAAAATGATATGATCATCTCAATAGATGCACATAACTCTACAAAACTTCATAAATTTAATAAAATTCTATAAAAATTCAGAGTAAAAAGTCCTAGTAAAATAAGATTATAAAAACAGTTTCTTACCATAATGGAACTGAATAATCGATTGATAATCAAATGTGAAAATCTGTCACAAATCAACATCCAGGATTCTGCAGAATGGCAGGCAGTAGTCATTCCTGTTAGAACCACAATAAAAAAGAATGCTTGTTAACATCGTTCTGGAAGTACCAGCAGTGAATCATTAAGCAGAGTGGAAAATTATGAATATTAGAGATGAGGTAGCAAAGCTATCATTACGATTATCTACCTGGACAACACAAAGGAAACAGATGAAATTTGACCGCAACTCTTAGGGAAGTTCACAAATATGTCTAGTTACAAAATTAACACACACAACTCAATTCCTTTCCTAGATAATAACCTTTGAGAATCTGGAAATGGAAAATGCTTCTACTTATAATAAAACCAAAATATAAAATGACCAGGAGAAAATATTTTAGATACACCGTATTTTTATGAAAGAAAGCTACAAAATTCACTAAGGAATGTAAAAGAATATATAAATACATTTATACACCATGTGTCTGATATAAAGCTTCAATACTGGAGAGATTTCATGTTGTTCAAAATTAATGAATAAATGTAACCAAATCATGTGTCATTTAACATAATAGTTAAATGCACAGACTTTGGAGACAGCTGAGTTAGAATCCCAGAGCCACCTCTTACTGTGAGACGTTGGGCAAGTTACTTTACCTCCCTGAGCTTATTTATTCAGCTTTAAAATAGTCATAAAGGAATATCTATCTTGAAGGATTGCTTTGGAGATTAAATAAAACAGTACATGTACTATCTTTAGCACATGCCTCTACTCTAGAGATTAATAATGTTGGGTATTGTAATCATTATTACTTCACTCTGGCCAAGGGGTCTTACACATTTTCTATAAAGGGTAAGTGATAAATATTTCAGTCTTTCAGGCTACATTATTCCTTACTTATGTTATTCTTTGTTGCTTATTTGTTTACATTCCTATAAAAACATAAAAAATAATCCGTAATAGAAGTCTGCTTAAGAAACAGGTCATGGTGGGGGGGCGCCTGGGTGGCTCAGTTGGTTGAGCATCTACCTCTTGGTTTCAGCTCAGGCGATCTCAGGGTGGTGAGATCCAGTTCCATGTTGGGCTCCACACTCAGAAGGGAGTCTGTGATTCTCTCTCCCTCTGCACTTCTTCCCACCACTCTCTCTCTCTCTCCCTCTCTTTCCTTCCCTCTTTCTCTCTCAAATAAAGAAATAAACAAAATCCTTAAAATATTCATTTAAAAAAAAAAGGACCACGGACCGGGTTTGGCATGTGGGCTACTGTTTACAGAACCATGTTCTAAACTAGTAAAACAAATTTGTTCTCACTGATAGAGAAATGCAAATTAAGTGAAAGTTATCAAGTGGGTAAAGATTTTTTTTAATACCCCGTTTTATGAAGATATGAGAAAATGGGCACAGAGGTACACTGCTGATAAATTCTTGACTGGTGGACACTTGATGCATTCAAAGACTTAAAGTATGTATTTTCTTTCACCAGTCTATTTCTGGAAATATTTCCTGAAGAAATAATTGGAGACATTCTCATATGTTTGAATAAGGATATTTAGCACAGGGATGGTCCTAACATTGAAAATCAGTAACTATTTAAACGTCTAGCCATAGAGAATGGATTAAATAAAATACAGTGCCTCCATACAATGGAATAATATGCAAATATTAAAAATAATGTTAAAGCATATAGTGCCTTTTTCGAAAAACAAAAGACTGAAATAGTGCCATCAACAACTAATCCAAGGGAGGTGGTGGAAAAGCCAGTTAAATAACTCTGCATTTAAAGCCTCATCCTGGGGTGACTCTGGGTCTCTCTATGAAAGGCTGGGCATCACCTTCTGTGGTTACCGCAGAAGAAAAACAAACAAACAAACAAACAAACAAACAAAAAAGCAGCCACAAAGTACAACAGTGGCAGTCTACCAGGACCAAATTCCTTCATTTTTTTAGGCACCGTGCTTTTTAAAACTCTTTTGTAAATGTGGAGATTCAATGCCATTTTTCTTTTAGTTTTTCTTAAAGACTTAATACTCTATTTAAGGCCAGTGAAAAACACAAAGAATTCACGGCATAGCACTATCCTTTTCTGGGAGACTCCTTTGGTTGTCCAATTTCTTTATACACAACATATGCTCAGAACTTTGAGTTTGGGTGAGATTACTCCAAGACTGGAAAAACCATGAAGTAAGCACAATTTACCACCACTTATTATAGTAATCTATCGTTGACATTTCAGCATGATTTCTGCAAACGACATCCATTTCCTAACCCCAGTTACTCAGACCTGCACTATCAGAGCTAGATCATCTATTTCATTGTCTAGTGAATTCGTGCCCCACAGATGAGTAGTAGTAGCGTGGTACTTGTCCAGGGTAACTGGTGAGATTTTAAACTTGGCTTCCAGCGACCAAGGATGCAGTTGAAACACTGTCTCTGTTTAGTAGTTGGACTTGAGGCACCTTGGCAGGCTGTTTGGGCAGGTTAACAAAAAAGTCTTTAATGTGGGCTACCCGCAAGGAAGGCTTCATTGTAGAGAAATCTACATTCAGGTATAATAGGTGACGTTAATAGCATTAAAAGATCTTATAAAAATTTATATCTTAATAGGCCCCTCTGCAACCTGTACCTTGCCCTGAATAAGGAGATAAAATCGTGGCTGAAACTTCCCATCTAGATTGCCTGTGAAAATTTACAGCGGCTTCGTCATGTCTTTTTTTTTTTAAGGTCCTGGCATTTACCAAGTTTGTTTTTAGTTTTCTTTTCTAAGAGTTCCCTACATCCTTCCCCTTTTCTGCCTTCTCGTCCCCCAATTCCCACTCCACCCAGTCCCTCCTTAACCAAGGAGAAAACAGAGACAACCAGGCTCGTAGGGATTTTGTTTTTTTTTTTTTTAATTCATCTATCTAACATAGCGAATGCACTAGAGGTTAATTAGATGAGCACATTTTATGATGCAAAAGAATAAGAATATCGGAGTCATTCAAGGACGAAGGGGGTGGAGAAAATCAGGCAGGAGGATGGTAAGAAAAAAGGAAAGGAAAAAAAATGCAAAATGAGCAAACAGAAGTGGTAAAGCTACAGGACCTTTGGTATGATTCTTTGATGAGCAATTGTATGCATGACCTTCAGAGGAAACTTACCTATTTCACGATTTGTTGACAGGCTGGTGTGTGACATTTTGACTAAAGGACCTAGTTACATTGTGAAGAGAGGAAAGTACCCTTTAGGTAAGGAATATAAACAAATGTCTTCAACTCAGACATTTTTGAAAGAACTCAGGAGACTCCTGCTAAAGTGCATGCGGGTGACATCCTGTAGCTGCTTTCAAAAAGAAAGATATTTGAGAACCTATGAGCTTGGTGCTAACTCATTTTCTCAGATTTCAGTAGAAAAATAGAGTAGATCTAATACAAGAATTAGAAAAACACAGCTACTCTAAAGAAAGAGAATTTAGGAAACAAAAAAGGCAAGAGGAGTATGAATGGAATTTATAAATTTCAACCTGGTTTAAAAATATATACAGATACACTTAAAATTTCCAATTCAGAATAGAGATAACAAAGGGAAGTTGATATTTCTGCTAATCACTACTATAAAGGACATTTGGTATGTTCCTGCTTCAAAGGTACTGTTTAAGAAAAATTAGAATATTTGACAGAGATTGAAATCTCTAAGGAGAAAGTTATGAAACATCTTGAGAAAATTTGAGCTCACTAGAACAGCAGGAGTGGATGACATTTAGCAATTAACTCCAAGGAAATAAAGAAATGCGCAATTGCAAAAATGCTGATAGGTTTTGCATAAAACAAAGTAATCTATTTTGGCCTTGAACAGCTGTTAAAAGCTCCTTCAAAGTCACTAACTAGTAAACAGCTGAGAATTCTTTTCTATCATCTATGTGCTGGAGGGAAGAAAGAAAGAGAGAGAGAGAGAGATAGAGAAAAGGGTAAGCTTCATACTTTACAGAGATTTGTAGGTTTTTAATAAATGACCCGAGAGAAGGCTTTGTAGGCCTGGTTTTTGGCTTCTTCTCCAAAGGGAATGCACTTGCTGCATAATTCTATCCAGCACATAAACCTTCCCTTGAATCATCAGGTCCTGCAAGATGAACATCCTGGACATTTATGAATTAGATGCTCTAATGGGCATCTCAAATTCTCTTGCTAAATATTTTATCTCATATAAAAGGAAATTCATTAAAAGTATGTTAGGCATTCTTTTATTAGAATAATGTTGGATAGTTGATATCAAAGAAGAGCTATATTTTAAATGATTTAAATTCTTTATTGCTCTTTACAAGCCAAAAGTCATTATCAACTAGCTAAGGGCTCCATTTAATCACAAGTAAATATAGTAAGGCAATCACAAGCATCAAAGAAAAAGCAAGCTTCAAACAGAAGTCCACAAAATGTATCTGACTGTGAAGTGAATATACTCCAAAGAAGCTTTTTAACTTACCTTGACAAAAACCAAACCATTGCTGAGGTTAAAAAGACTTCCACGTGTGTCTTTGTGAATATTGCTGACAGGGTTAGTTATGGATTTTAATATCAAAGGTATAGTTGTTTTCTCTATATGAATATAATTATATATTTATATTTATATTCAATGTAAGTTAACTATTATTTTCTTCTATGGTAGACTACTAAACGTATAGAGTTGTACCAAGATTGAAATAAGAAGAGTAAATAGAGATGTGAATACAACTAAAAAGATCATGATCATTTTCATAAAGCATCTGTATCAGATCATTCTCTTCTAAGCTGAACCCACCAATGCAGAATGTGAATTCTCTACTCCCCACCTAGCTACCCTTCAAAACAATCTCAAGTTCACCCTCCAATTCACAGTGCTCTCTCCTTTCTCTGAAGCCAAGGTACTTAAAATTTATAGCACTCATTTGGTAATTAATCATGTAATGACCTGTGATATTTCTTTAATTGATATTATTTAATCTCTCTCTCTCTTTCTTCTCCCACTTGCTCTACCCACTGTGTCTTTTTTTTCTTTCTCTCACTCACTCTGTCTCTCTTTCGCATCTTTTAAACTATGTTTTCAGCTTTTATGGGAACAAGTATGCAGTAAACTGCCACTTTACAACACATTAATTCATGGCACACAATACTGTGTCTTGCATTCCATAAGTGCTCAATAAAAGTTTGTTGACTTAAAAAGTGAGTCTAAGAACTTAACCTTATACTAGAAGCCTGGCAGGTATCTGGAAAGACTTGATTAAATTGATGATCTATGATTTGAAGGATGAGACATGATAGGTAGCTAGACAGTAGGATGTCTCGAGGCTTAGCAATCTTTCAGAGATGTTGTGCCAAATCTGCATTCACCCACTCCTTCCGAAGGTCAGATGCATGTCAATGCCTTTGGGAGAAGGAAACATGGCAGAGTCTCACAGATCATTTACCCACCTGCCCCGTCAGAGACCACTGTACTATGAAACAGTTTTGAGTCTCTTAGCAAAGGAATCCCAAGACCAAAAACCAAATGCTTCCAAGACTTAGACAGCTAGAATCACCATGGAAGGAGAAGAGGGAACATTAAGAGGTTTCTTCTTCTATCTCCATGCTCCTTTCAATATCTGAGCATTCGAAAAGCCTGAGTCTTAATTATCAGCCAAGAAAAGCACAAGGTTTTCATTTACAAACAAGGGAGAGGGAAACAAGATAAGGGGGAATGAATGAAGAGAGTTTCTGAGAGAACTTTGGTATACAACAGACTTCTTTCTTACATTTTACTTATGACATCAAAATCATCTCAATACCATCTCAGACACGAAAAGCAAAAGGCATCAAAAGTCTGCACCAAAAAATATCAAATTGAATGAAGAGAAACAGGACTGACTGGCAGTGAAGCTAAAATCTTCCCTCAAATCTTTAGTTCAAGTAGCTTCAGCTAAGCTCCAGAAATGGAAAACCTTACTTAAAGATTTACTAGCTCTTTAGGGGCACCTTGGTTGCTCAGTGGGTTAAGCATCTGCCTTCAGCTCAGGTCATGATCTCAGGGTCCTGGGATGGAGCCCACCCCCCAGTCCTGCTCCCCACTCAGCAGGGAGTCTGCTTCTTCCACTGCCCCAACCCCTGCTTGTGAGCACATGCCTTCTCTCTCTCTCAAACAAATAAATAAAATCTTTTAAAAAATTTATTTAATCACCAATGATACCTCATCAAATCTAAGAACATAATAAAATACCAGATTCTCCATGTTCACCTTCCAGAATAAAAAGTAGATTCTGATAGTCTTGAATCAAATGTTTGTTAAGCATCAATATAAGCTTAAAACCATTGGAAACCACTCAAATTTTCCGAGGAGGAAAGAAAAGAATCAAAACCATAATTTTGGAACAAGAATAACCGAACATAGGGATATATAAAATTATATATAATTGTGTAACTTTGCTCATGACTTCTCTGAAAACACACAAAAAAATATTTAACATACAATTTCTAGGCATTCAAAGATGACAAATATGAAACCCATAGGAGCCAAGAAACTTCAGATTAAAAATTCTTTTTGCAGTTGGAAAGGCCAGCTATGTGGAGGCTAGTGGGAAAGCCATGGGTGTTCTCTGATTTGTAGTATCTTTCCCATAGCAAAGATTGGCTGTGATAGTGTAGTTATTAGAAATGCTATAGATGTAGTAAGTTTACTTTGACTTAATATAGGTATGATAGGCAGAATAATGCCCCCACCCCAAATCCCTGGAACCTGTGTATATATTATCTTACCTGGCAATGGAGAATTAGGATTGTAGATACAAATGAGGTTGCTAATCAGGTGACCTTGAGATGGGGAGATTATCTTAGATTGTCCCAATGGTTACCTGTGTAATCACAAGGGAGTTTATAAGCCGAAGAAGGATGGGACCCCTGAGTGGCTCGGTTGGTTAAGCATCTGACTCGGGTTTTGGCTCAGGTCATAATCTCATGGTTGTGGGATCAAACCCCACATGGGGCTCCTTGCTGGGCGTGGAGTCTGCTTCAGATTCTCTCTCTGCCCCTGGCCCCCATTCCCCCACCTTCTCACATGTGCACTCTCTTTCTCTCTCAAATAAATTATTAATTCTTTAAAATTTAAAAAAAAAGACATAAGTGGAAGAGGAAGACAGGAGAGTCTGTGTCAGGGTGATATAGTGTGAGAAAGACTCAACCAGCCATTGCTGATTTTGAACATGGAAAGAGGACACAATCTGAGGAATGCAGGTGGGCTCTAGAAGCTGGAGGAGGTAAGGAAGTAAATTCTCCAGTAGAGTCTCCAGAAAAAACACAGTCTTGCCAATACCTTCATTTTAGCCCAGTGAAGATCCATTTTGGACTTCTGTCCATTAGAACTGTAAGATAAACAATTTGTATTTTTTAAGCCAATATGTTTGTAGAAAACTGTTACAACAGCCATAGCTGCTTTGGCTGCCAGCCTAGGAAGCCAGAGAGATTGGTCTGGGAGTCTTTTCTAGGGAGGGTTCAAAGCAAGCAGAGCAGATCAACATTCCAGAACTCTAAGAGGATTTGATCTGAAACCTGCTCATTAGAAAGGGAAAGTTAAATATAAGTAAGTAAATAAATAAATAAATCCAAGATAAATCGATAGCACACTTCAATAAGCACTTATTAAACACCCGCTGCCTGTGATTCAAGGTAAAGTGCACAAGATCAATGTAGGTGGGAAAGTCCCTCCCTGAGTGCCAGGGAGGAGGCCTGGCCGGAAAGCTGCTTTTTGATGGCAGAACAGAAAAGGCAAAGATTAAAAAAATCAAGATGACGATTTCCCCCTTTTAGCTACTCACTTCCACAAGTCTGCCCAGTGGCTGATTTCCCACCAGAGGTAAGAGGCTTGACTATAGGTATGGCTGTAGTGAGAATCAGAACACCTTCCCTGACAAAAGAATGTATTTCCCACAAACTAGATAGAAATCCTAGAAGTGGTTTTTCTGCATTACTCTGTTTTCCCCACACACCAGTCTCCTCTGTATCTCTCCTTTATCTTTACAAAACTCAATTTGACATTGGTACTTACATTAGTAGGTTCTAATAAGCAAGTAAAAACATAATTCTTGCCCAAAAATCCATAGACAAACATTAAGTGTCAAGGACAGATTTTTTTTCCCTATAAGTTTTGAGGACCACCTACAACAGCCATGACAGCTGTGCTAATCGAAAAAGCAAACGAGGCCACAAAGGACTGTTCTTTGACCATGTAATCAATTTTCCACTCAATGCA